TAATAATAATGATAAGTAAACTTTGAATCAGCAGTAAACGCTGTAACCACATTTGATCCTCTCTCTCTAAACGATGACATCAGGCTGAATCTTCTGTGTGAAACTCAAACACATCAAACCTCCTCTGCTTTGCGTTGGTTCAGCTGAGTTATGAACTTTGACGATGGCTCATTTTAACGTGAAGCTTTGTCGTTTCTGGCCTATGATCTCACTGAATCGAACACTGAGTCTTTGTCTCTGCTTGCGGTAAAATTAGCTCCTCTGTCATCGAGGCCTTAAAGAGGACGAGGAGGGGTCACAGCCGAGCTTTAAACTGATCCAGACTCACAACAACACTCTCATATTAGCCTGTCAGTCACTCCGGATTATTCCATTTACTGACACCACCTACGCTGCTCTTCATGTTGGGCAGAAACCCTGACTGAGCTGGACCCCACTGAAACCTGACAGCTCAGTGTTTGATGTTCAAGTCCTCTCGGTATGACACCAGACGATCTTAAAAACGAGCTAAAACCCTTTGGCAGATCAGATCATGTTATGACTGTTACAGAAAACCTTCAGCAGCTCCAAAACGGTCTGATTTAAACAGTGAGGCATGTAAGCTAACAATTTAGCACATGCTAAAGCTAATGTGAATAACTTAAATGCTTTTAAATCAGATCATCTTAGTATATTACATCTCTTTTTAGGGTTAAGATGTCTATTATACAATTTAATTCAATTTTAATTTGCATTTTTTAAAAGTTTGTTTTCTTTATTTTTTGTCTATCTTTAATTAATTTTTGTTTATTTATTTTTATAGTTGAGCAATTTTTTGTTTAATTATTTTTTTGATTTTATTATTCAATTTAATTTAAATTTATTTGTATTCATTTTTTAAATTTTTATCTTATTGTCATCATTTATTATAATTTTATTTATGTGTTGTTTGATAACAATCTTATAGAACATTTTGTAAATTCTGTATTTTATCTATTTTTTCAATTTAACTATCTGTTTGATTCAAATTTTATGATTTTTTAAATCCAATTTTATTTTTTCATTTAAGGTCATACATTTGTTTTAAATTTCAGTTTTTTAAATATTTATTTATAAATTTTTATTTCAGTTTAGTTAAATTTTATACATAGATTTTTTAATTAAAATTTAAAATATTGTTTTATTTTACTTATTTATTTTTTGTTTTATTTTTTCCTATGTTTTATTAATTTTTGAATTTATGTGAGTTTGTTTGAATATTACATTTTGCACTTATGATTCCTACTCTGTAAGAATTAGAGATTAATGATACCAAATATCAAAGCTTTTTTTTTTCAGTTAGCAGATACAATTACAGTATATGCACTATGTGTTAACTGAAAACACAGACATATCTGTCACCTGTTAGACTGCAGTTAAATCTACTGGACTCTTTTTACAGTGTGTGAAATTTTGTGCCTCTGATCAAAGCTGCTGTCTACTGACACACACACACACACACACACACACACACACACACACACACACACACACACACACACACACACACACACACATAAACACAGATACGGTCTGTGAGTATGTAGGTCAAGTGTTTAAAAATGTGTGTGTGTGAGTCTGAAGGAGAAAAACTGCATTAAAGAGATGTTCAGGTTTAATTTCATGCACACTGATCCTCTTTATTTATTCACTTTATACACAGAGAGAGAGAGCTTGAATAAATCTGTGTGCACTTACTCTAATGTACTATAAACAAGTACTGATAGGAATTACTTGTACTTGTTCTATCTGAGGCAGAATGAAAGCAGATATCGTACTTTCTCTTTACCATTCTGTTTGGAGAAATTCTCTTTTTTGTTGTCCTCCACTATAAAGAGGTTTGTGATTAGTATTCTGATACCTCAATAAAAAAGTGAAACAGTCAGAGGTGTTTAAGCAACCGCTCATGATACATAATCCTGTTCATGCTGTCTTATCACAGGTGAGGTCTTAAGAGTCAACAGAGATATCTCCCCTAACATCTCCTCTCCCTCCTCTTCCTCCTGTCTCCATATGAATTCTTCCTCTTTCAGACTGGACTCATCCTCCTCTTAAGCAGCAGCAGTTGAGAAAACAGACAGAGCTCCTGTTCACTGACCCAGTGACCTCTGACCCCTCTGACCCCTTGTGGCTCTGTTCTGATGAAGTTTTGAGATCATGTCCCACTTTTGCATTCTGGGTAACGTAAATAAATGAAGGATGGAGGCGTAGATCTCTAACTCGGACTTGCAGGGTAAGTTTAGATTCAGAAAAGGTCAGATTAAAGATCCACTTCATCCATCACCCTGCTTAATCTATCTTTACTTGGAGAGTTCACTTTTTCTAACATTTAAGTCCTGGCAGTAGGTGGTGGTAGATCAATGAAAACAACATTGCTAATGGCCTCTGTTGGCCATCTAAAATGTTGCTCATAAACTCCACCTTCTCCATGTTAACAGATGGGATATGAGTCAAATCATAAAATCAAAAGACTCCAAAATAATAACAAATAAAAGTTTCTCATACATGTTTCTGTCACTTTAATGAATTCTGATTGTGCTGAGTTATGTACAAATGTCCATTTTGAAATAGATTCAGTTTTAATTAGTTATTTGATGCTATAAAAAGAGATGTAACACAATGATTGACAGCTCTGTTGACCAATGAGACTCACCATCATTATAATCAACATCATTCTTCACATCATCATCATCATCAGTTTAATTATAATCATCAACATCATCATTATCATCATTATCATCATTATCATCATTATCGTTATGAGGGTCATCATCAATAGCCCCATAAAAATAACTTACATCTACATCCTCATAGTAAGCATTACCCAGGGTTTCAGCTAGCCTGGCTGGGCCATCCAGTTGCGTAAATCACTTGCCGTTCCTTCACACAACAGTCTGGACTTCGGCCCATTGGGAGCGTGTATTAGTGATCAGAAAATAACCGGGCCAATCAGAGACCGTGTTTCCACTGTTACCCGGACAGCAGAGAAAGGCAGCCCCTGATTGGTCCATGTGTAGATGGTGACGTCTAACACATTCTGCGGGACTTTTTACAGCCCCATTCATTCAGAACACCGTTAATTCTGCAGTTGACTTTGCAAAGTCGGCAGAAATCATTTATATCTGACGTCTCCTGCGGATCTATCCGGCATGCTCCAGCGTCTGGAAAAAATAGAACTCTTGCGATCAGCTGCAGAGTTCAGCAATTGACACATTAACTTGGATGGTTACAATCAGCTACAATCTGCGGATATGGCCTTTTCATTGCCGTTCCGGATGCGATGGAAATTGGGGGTTATACTGACCGTCATCATCAGTATCACCATCATCAACTACATTACTAGAATCTTCATTATTATCAAAATCTTCATGCTTGTCTTTATCATTAACTGCATCACAGTGATCATTGTTACCATTCTCATCATGATCATTATGAACAACATTATCATATCATCTGATAATCATTTTAATCATCATCACCATTATTATCAACTGTCATCACAATTTTATCATCAGCATCACCATTGTTGTCTTTATCAACATCTACCTTACCATCATAAGCTACATTACAATTATCATCATCATCTTCATCTTTATTACCAACATTATCCTCATCATCAGCATCACCACCAACACCACCACCACCACCATCATTATCATCATCATTGTTGTCATTGTCATCATCATCTTCAGAACATAACTACAAAGAGCTGGATTGCTTACAGAGTGCTTGGTCATTGTGTTTTAAAGGATGGACAGTATTAATGAGCAAAATGGTGACTGTGAGTCAAGTGTTACACGCTGTTAAATGTTTTGCAGACCTGAATCACACGAAAACATTTTTTGGCATCAAGTTTGAGGAATGTTTATCTGAGACTTTGAAGTTTTGGGCTTTAAAGTATCAAATCTTATACTCCTGTCCAAAATAAACAAGCAGTTCAAGTGCTGGAGAAGAGAGCAGAATCTTGAGCCTTTAGACCTGTTCTCAGGTCTTTTGTATTTTTAATTAAGAAAGAAAAAGACTCACAACAAAACCTGTCATCAGGATTTTAATCCCAGACACCAATGATCATGTAGAATTTCTTTGCATTATTTTAGTCTGAAGGTTTTTTAATTAGGTTTAATATAAGAAACTGAATTGGGATGATTTTCTTCTCTCAAAACAGTTACACAGCTCATTTGCTTCCCTTCAGACTGTGTAAACAAGACTACTATAATCTCCCTCTGTATTTAAAAGATTCATATCAGCAGTCTAAAGACCTGCATCCTCCTCCTCCTCCTCCTCCTCCTCCTCCTCGGAGTCTCTGTGGTTTAAGACTTCATGTTCAGCTGAAAACAGACGAAAACATCTTTAATCTGATCTGTTAAATTGTTAAAGCTGCTCCTCTTAATCCACATCTACTCTGCTCACATGTGAAAATCTGAGTTCGTGTGCACGTGTGTGTGTCAGACTACACACATCCACAGTAATCTGATTTATCATCGGGTGTCTGGATGACCCGTCTCAGCCGAGTTGTTTATCTGACACGTCGGCTCGTCAATAACCTGTTAAGATCTGACAGGTTACTGTTTGTTTTTAGTTCAATGTAGGTGCTATAAACTTGGAATTCAAGGACTTTTAAAGATTATTTATAATTTTGTTTCCAAATGAAAGAGTCTGAAGTCTCCTGATGAAGGTTGTGTAACATGAACCATTATATGACGTCTTGGGAACAAATGAAAAGACTCAAAATTGACTCTTACACTCTTCTGTATTTTCTCTATTCTCTCCTGAAATTCAAGAGCTTCTCAATAATTCTCAAGGCCTCCCAATAATTGCCTACCTGCTTTTTTCATTAAATGGAACAAGCTAATATTCAAATGCAATATGAAGTCCTTCAAGGCCTCATTTATCACATTTTCCGCTTTTTAAAAAAAATTGAGGCAAACATGACGTGATGAAAATCGTAATCATATGATGTGAAAAAAACTTGAGGACAGACATTCAGCAGGCCCAGCAGCCAAATATTGAAGTATTTAATTATTTTGCACACAAAGTCTCAGCATTCCTGGTTTTTCCATATTGTTTGACATTCATCTCTTAGTGTTTCAAGGCTTTTAAAGACTTTCATGGACCTTTAAAAGGTTACTATGATCCCTACTGAGCTTATTGCTAGTCGAACCATCATAATCTTAAGTGGCCAAAAGGCTAAATGAACCAGAGTTACATTTCACTTAAGTTAGAAAACCTTTTACTACAGTTAAAGTCAAGAAAATATTTCATGAATCGTAAATATATTTCACTTCACTCAAAAATATGTCATGATTAAAAAAAAGTATGAATGAATGAATATATAGAGGATTCAAAAATTTTTTCCGCGGGATAAAAAATAAGACGCGGAAATTTAACAAAAAGCAAAAATCACAGAACCAAAATAAATCCAAAATCTGCGTTTTTTAAAATTTTTTATTTGTAACACTTTTTCAAAAATAATTAGGATCTCAGAATATCTGACCCAAAGCAAATTTGTTTTCATGAGATGAAAAAAGAAATATTCCATGGAATAAGTTAATATTTTAAGAGATGCAGAAATTTTTGAGACGCCTCTTTACATTTTTTTAATGAAAAATATTTAAAAATGCAAATGACAGAATTTACACAATGTTGAAAGCTGTTTTTACAAAATGCTTTGTATTTTATGAAATGCAAAAGTCAATATACTGTGCAAAAACATATTACAGAATGCAAAAAAATATTTCATGAAAACTATTTAAATGCAGAGATTTAACTAAATGCATTATTATTTGTGAGTGTTTCTGATGTTTTTTGATTGTATGAAATGTTTTTGAGCTTTTTTTGGTCACATGAAAAGTTTTTTGTGTTGACGATTTTAACTTCAGGGCCACCATACAATTCAGGCACCAAAAGCTTTGAATTCAAACACTGAACTTAGAGTTAATTTTCACCTGGAACTTTTAGGTCCACCCCTTGCTTCCAGGATGTTTCAAGCTTATTAAGAAAATCCCTTTTATTTTCAGGATATGTAGTTTGGATATTCATAAGTGCATTTGAGGACTCTGACAACTATTGGAGTCACACAATCAGAGTTGATTAAACTGCATTAAAAAACTACTTTAAGGACCCTGCCATGAAATTGTTTAACATATGTCTTAAAAGTAGTTGAAAAATGTTTATTATTTTTAGAGAGTAAACGGCCATAAATGTAGTGGTCTGGCTCTTTAATGGGCCCTCTGACAGCCAATCATGTCAAAGATCAATAATCAGACAGAGCAGAGGTCTCAGTTCCAGCTGATTTATTCAGTTGTCACATACAGACTTCATCATGTAGGACGAGTTAACGCAGTCTCCTCTCCGCTACCCAAAAAAACATGGAATGCTCCTTTAGATCATTTTTTTTCTTTTTCTTTATATTGCACAAAAATAATGAGTGGAAAGAAACAAATATGTGCCGTCAATGATAAAAAAAATGTAACAGAAAATCCAGTTTGGACTCATTCACACCAGTATACATAAACTCCTAAACTTTAACTATTTTACACAACATATACAACCAAACAATCTCCCTTCCACAATAAAGGCTCACCTTTCTGTCTATACACTTGTTTAAAACAACAGCAAGGCATTAAAGCAAGGCAGGCTGGCTGGGATTTGAACCCTCACATGCTCAAATACAAACAATAATATTCATCAGTCAGAATGAACTGTGGTAGAGGAAGGAGAAGAAGTGCCTGAACATTCCCTTTACTGTACAAAAATATGCCTGAAAATAGTTTTATTCTGCAGATCTTTAAAAAAACATGAGGTATGTCTGGTTATGTAAATATCAAAAATGCTTCCTGCCACACCTGTGCTCCGTTTAGGCTGAAACTCAACATTTCATGGCGGCTCCTCACTTAATATAAAATAAAGACTTTAAACGTGAAGAGTCATAAAAGAGTCCTGAAGTTCTGGAGGAACACAAAGAGTCTTATCCTGATTTTAGAGTCCTTTACGGTCTGGACGGGAATGCATAGTCCAGGTCCTGGTTCAGACCCGAGCAACAGAAAAATAAATCCATAAAACCCTGTAGATGTGATCTGATCCAGTCCTATATTTTTGCAGAAGTACCTCGGCGTGTGTCCCCGAAATCAGAGATCCCTCTGCCGGGCAGCTGCAGCCACATCAGCCCGGTCCCTGACAGGCTCTGGAGCTTCACACCCTCCCCTCCAGAGCTGGTTCTGGGGCAGATGAGGTTGCTGGAAGGAGGACAATGCAAAAAGTTAGCTTCATTTAAGCAGCACCTGATTTGACTATTATGCAGTGGGTTATGGAAACAAGGTCCTAGTCCAAAACCACCAAACTTGACTTGACCCAGTTATCATAGTGTGAGTGCAGACCAGTTGAGTCACTGTTTCAGGTCAATTTGACTTATTTTTCTTCCTGTCTGGACCAATATTGGACAACTTTCTGATTTAGAACTACAATACCCAGACTAATTAATGCTACACAGAAGCTGTCACTTAATGACAAAGTTTCAGTGAGGTATTTTTCATCCTATCTGTGTTAGCAGTTTGGTTCCAGGGCTTGGTTAGACTCTTAGAAAAGTGTGTTTTTTAGAATAAGATCGGAACTTGGATCATTGTGGTCTCAGCAGGAAAAACAGTGAAATGGGGTTAAATGTCTGACAACTCTAAAAATTAGTTTTTTTAAGAGACTGTGGCCTCTTCAGGTTGGTCTAGTATGGATTTGAATGGTCAAGGTATTATGGTTCTGGATAGGGAACAGGTCAAATGTGATTCAGAGATTAGTTCTACTTTTTTATTCTTCTACATTAACAAAATTGAGTGTGAGCTCTCCCAGATAATCTAGTTCAGGTCTGACAAGTCGAGCAGTGGTGGTTTTAGATCACGACCTTGTTTCCAGGATCTTCCCATAACAGCTGTTTCAAAAGCTGTGAATTAGATGCCAACTTCAATCTGGAGCATCGACCCTGATAATCCTCTTACCTGGCCCGGTATGGTGTCTGTGACCCCCGACCAGGGATCAATACGTGAACACCAGGTCCGAGAAGTTGGCCTCCAGCCAGTTCCCGGCGATCATCTCGCTGAGCTCCGGGGTGCAGTAATCCGGGAACTCGAAGTGGGACCCGAGGCTACCCTCGCTGCCGCACGTGTCTAGGTCTTTATCCACCAGGGACAGGCTCAGGTTACCCGAGCTGCACGACGAGTTCCACGGCTCGGATGAGGCGTGTAGGCCAGCCAGGAGGTTGAGGGTGAAGTCAGAGCTCTCCGTGGGGAGGTCATCGAGATCCTCCCCGCAGCAGGAGGAGGAGGAGGTGGAGCCGGACCGGGACGAGGACGCTGGTGAGAGAGAGGCCGGGTATGAGCATTTACCGGGGCCCTGCCGGGTGATGTTCTTGAAGCTGTAGAAGAGCCGGCCGGAGGACTCGAACATGCTGGTTCCCTCCGGCTCGGCGGCGGGGCTGTAGCGGGACGTCTCGTCCTCCTCGTCCGCTTTGAACTCCAGCTCTTCGTCGGAGTCATCTTCGTCATCATCATCATCCTCATCATCTTCATCGTCCTCCTCATCCTCGTCGGTAAAGTCCCGTTTAACGAGCTTGCTGGCTTTGAAGCTGGTGGTCAGCACGTATCGGTACCGGGGGTCCTGGTGCTGGATGTGCTGGTGTTGTGGTAGATGGCCCCCCGCTCGGACCGGACCGACCACCGGCTTGCTGGGTTTCAACTTGGAGAGTTTTTTGGCGGCGGAGTGGCTCTTGTTCGCGGGTCTGACAGCCGTTTTCTCCGGGGACTGAGCGGCACACTTTCCCGCAGGAAAAGCTCCCCCCTCCGTCTTGGGCTTCTTCTTGGGCCGGTACTTGTAGTCCGGGTAGTCAGCCATGTGCTTGAGCCGGAGCCGCTCCGCCTCCCGGATAAACGGCGTCTTTTCGGTATCTTTCAACATTTTCCAACGTTTCCCGAGCCGCTTAGAAATCTCCGCGTTGTGCATATCCGGTGATTGCTCCATGATCTTCCGCCTCTCGATTTTGGACCAGACCATGAAGGCGTTCATGGGCCGTTTAATGTGCCCGGACGCTGTCTTACACCAGTCTGGCTTCGTCGGCACGGCGCTGCACGCTGAGGCCGGCAGCAGCTCACTCTCATCGGGATGGGTCGCCTCGCGGGACCCGCTGGTAATCCCCTGGCCGCCATGTTCCGTCTGTTGAACCATGGTCCAAACGTACGTGTCTCACTGTGTCGAGGTCGCTCCCAGCGCGGATTTGTTACTGATATAATCCCGGTTCTGACCTATTTTCTGGTCGCGGTTATGTCCTCAGCCTGACAGCATCTCTCATCTGTTTAAACTTCCAAACCGGCGTCTTATTAACCGGCTGATCATGCGCGCAACGTTACCACCCTCAACCAATCATCACCCTTCTTCTCCGAAGCCTTCCCGCCTCCACAGCTCTCGCAGCCAATCAGAACACTTTACAGCCCCCACTTCTCCTCGCATGCCCTCCCTCAGACGTCTGGCCGTTATGCCAATTTCAATTGAAAGATAATTTCAGTGAAAGCAATCGATGGTTTAACGGGTTTTTATCGATATTTAACGGGTTTTATGGGTGTTTAGTGATTTCAAATCACTCCAGTCAATACAGGCACAGCCTCTACTTAACAGTAAACACATTTATAAAGGATATAGCCATTTCTGACTGTTCACTGCATTGGTTTTAATCCATGCCCTGTAAAAGACTGAACATCAAATGTAATTCTATTAATTCTTGTGTTGGGAACGGACACAAAATGTTGTGCAGCAAGATAACAAAATTTGATGTTTGTTCAAGAAGTTATAATATACACCCCCCCCCCCCCCCCCTTCTTTTTTTCAGACTCCATCTTGGAGTCACAGGCTGAGACTACATGCTGCTGTAACAAGTAACATAAGAACTGACCAAGATCCACAGTTGTTCAATTTTTAGCTGAATAATCTGCTCAGAGGACATTAAACTTACTCTGCCAAATTTTTTTCATTATTTGTCTTTCCAAACAGAGAAACACTGGCTAATTTAATCAAAACAACTTTGTAGCACGGCAACAGTGGAGGAGAGTCGTAGAGTTTTGGGTTCCAGAGATCTTAAAGTGCCCTAAAGAAAAGATAGCTGACATTTCGGGCAAGCTGAATCCAACTGAATTTGGATTTTTAAGACACCAATCTGAGATATGTAAACATATATTCTTTTAAACTCTCAATCATGTAAAATTTAAGAAACATCATCTTTACATGAAGCCTGAGGTTGAGATTGTTGTGATTCGTGAAATATTTTTGAGTTTCAATAAAAGTTTTGTGATTTGAATGTTTATTTTTCTATTTTGTGGTCCTTAAATGTCTGTTTTCCTTGTCGTTCAGAGCCACCATACCAAAGATTGCCAGGTATCTGAAAACAGATTTCAAGAGTTATTTTTGAAGCATTCAAGGGATTCAAGGGAAGTTCTTCAAGTGGTCCTTGAGTCCTTAACAGTCATTGTTTTTGCTGTAAAAGTCCTTGAACAATCCCAAGATGACTTTTCCAGTAATCCTTGGTGAGGGTTTGGACATTCCTGGAAGAGGACACAAGTCATCTGGGCCGCGCATTCACCAAGGCTGGGGTCTTTGAGGGAGTTTGATAATCCTTCGAGGTCAGTTCAGGTTTTTTCAGTCTCTCTATCCTCTGATGAACTGGAGCAGTTTCTCCCTATTCAAATCAGTAGGCATATGCATAAACATAAACAGGTCTTGGAAACATAGAACAGCCTCAGTCTGTTTCCAGGCAGAGGTCCTCAAAGTCTTGATGTGGATTCACATGCTTTCTTCCAAAATCTTCCGCAGGTCTTGACCAACAGAGGGCGCCAGAGAGAGCAGGTGCTTTAACAGGTAATGAGCTCATCATTATCCAGCAGTGATCATATCCTTCTAGACTGGATTTGTTCATAATCTGATTTAATTATATGATGTTCAAACAGCTTTAATGGTCCTATTATAAAGTTCATATTTAATTTATACAGTATTTAATATATAATTGTCTCTAGCCTTAAAAAAACATCACACAAAGATCTGATCTCATCCTAAATGAAATGATCTAATCCCTTACTGTTTTTTTTGTGAAGCTGAGCTCATCACTGCCTGACTCAAGCTCTGCTGTGAACAAACAGACATGAGACAAAATCTAACTGTACAAAATCAGACTTCTTACGCATAAAAATAAGCTGCTGATGGTGTGTGCGTGCGTGCGTGCGTGCGTGTGTGTGTGTGTGTGTGTGTGTGTGTGGTACCATCCATTCACAATGATGACCTGAGCCGTTACTCAGGAATGTGGCTGTTGTTCTGTGAGCTGCTGGAGGTCAAAGGTCGAGCTGCTGCTGCAGGTGAAAACTCCTCAGGTGGAAACTGACTGATCGAACACAGAGACATGGAAAACTCTAACCAATTAATTAATCCTTCAAAGGTTTCTGCACTCTGATTAGCTGCAGGTAGCTTGATATCTGCAATTAAAGGGATAAAATTAAGTCACTACACTTAGTATCTCTTTTATACTTTTAAACGTACAGGAAGTTAAGAATTACAAAAGAAGAGGGACTGTTGGTAACAAAACATCATCAAAGTAAAACTGCTGTGTGGACTGTTAAATAAAAGTTCTGACAAGTAAGAATGAGAAGTCGTTAAATGTAAAATGGGACCCTGAGGTACGAACAGCAATGTTTTAACTAGTGAGTTTTGGTCTGTGCAACTTTCCCTTTTTTCAGCAGGTATCGGAGTAGTTCAAACACTGAGCTGTGTTTAAAATGATTACACATTAGATAAAGTTTTTTTTTTTTAGATTTCACTTTTAATGTCAAAGTTCCTGTGGGTCAGTAATCTGTTTGTTTAGCACCTCGTTATTTTGACCCTCACAGTCGGTGCTAGGGCCCTGTAGAGCTCCTCACTGGCCTCCAAAGCTGCTCCACCCATCTTCATTTAAAATGTGTATGGAGGCAGGGATTGTTGAAGGGATTGGGAATTTGCATCTGTAAAAAAAAGCTCCTTGTCATCAGCTAAACCCTCCTCAAACACAGCAGCTGCATGTGAATGAGCTTCTATACGACAACAGTTCACACTAGCTGCAGGAGAGACTCAAGTTAACATGGAGTGTGTTGGTAAATTTCTCTTGAAATCATCCAGGGAAACACACCAGTGTTCATTTTGACAAAAAATTAAGTCTGTTTTTCTTCTAATAAAAAGTAAGAGGGCAAGTTTCATCCTTAAAGTGTCTCAAACAACTGTCTGACAAAGTTAGACTTACTATTTAACTGTTAGTGGTTCAACAAATACATTTATGATGGCAACAGCCATTGTGTGTCTGAAGTTGCCCAAAGTCAGTCTCTAAATGCACCCATTTTCTGAAAATAATACATAGTCTGGCAACAACGGTCAACTTTGAGATATTCCAAAGTAGCAGGCCAGCAATGACCAACTACTCACCAAGACTTCCAGATGTGTTGTCCTTGCATCTCCAGGGGAGCGTTTGTTCAACTATTCACTGTCAAGGCCTGACTGTAAAAAGTAAATTAAACAGAAGCTTCACTCTGGTTTACTTCATGATGAACCCCTTGAGAAAATGGTTTCCTTGTGATTTTCTTTGAAATAACACGCCTTAAGATCCTGATATAACAACATCATGATGCAGATAAGGACAAAGTAAAAAGTCAGGCCGTGTGACGTCAGAAAAAAACTTTTAAACCTTTTCTGTTAAATGAAGATAATTTCTGATGCATTCCAGGAAGTTAGGAGATCTGAACTCTAACTGTCTTTAGTGACGCTTCACCAATCAACCACTTCATTTCAGCAACTGTCTGTATGCAGTTACTCAAGGCTGTCCAAAACAAAGGATTCTAGAAATCTAAAAACCCTGCAATTCCAAAATAGAATCCATAACTATAAAACATATCACTCCAGCTCCAAGCATTCTATAACCCATTATTACAAAACCCAACATAACAGAGGGAAGTTCTACATAAATCAATCATTTCGACTTATCATTCCAAAAAAAAAAAAAAAAAAAAACTTTCCAGAGGCTATCACCTAGAACCAAGTATTTCCAGAATCAAGTCCTCCAGAACCCAGCATTGCAGAAGCATTTATTTTGAAACCCAGCCATTCCAAACTCATTACTCTGGAACTAGGTAAATCCAGAGGCAAGTCTTAACCCCAATTTCCACCGTATCCGGAACTGCTACAAAAAGGCTGTATCCGCCAATCGTAACTGATTGTAATGATTCAAATCAATGTGTCAGTTTCAACCGGCTTCATTCCGTTCCGCTGCGGATCGCCAGACTCTGCAGCTGACCATGCCAGATAATTTCAGCACAGATTAACCCGTGCTGGAACCCCAATCTACCCCTATTAATGTTAGCCTCTGTGGCTAAGAGATGGCTCTTTATCGCACAATGTATCCGCGGGTTCTCGTGAGTTTTCGCGATTACCGCTGTCTGTAATCCACCATGAAATTCGTGGCACAAACAGATCTGGTAGGAATTGGTGCATGGCGAAAATTGCTGTCGTTCCAGATCGGAGTCTTCCGGATGCGGTGGTAATCCTGGGTTATGGAACCCAGCATTTCATCACTCAAGGTACCAGCATTCCAGAATGTAACCGAGTATTCATGAACCCATCCCTTAAGAACCCAGCATCTTAATATCTCCCCAGAACCCAGCAATTAAAAACATTCAACTCTGAGATCACACCAGAACCCAGACTTGCCGAGCTAATCACTCTGAAATCCAAAAACTTTCATTCCACAACCCATCACTCCAGCCCATAATTCCAAAAGGGAACTCAATAGAACCCAGCATAGTAGAACTATCTTTTGAACCCACCATTGGTGACAAATTCTGTATTCAAATAGATCTAACAGGATCTGTTTACATGACTTTTAGTTAGACGACTACATCAAAATTGCTGAAAAACTGAGAAATTTTCAGTATTTCATAGTATAAATACTATAACAAGTATTTTGTCCATGTTTGTGTGTCAGTAATTGATTTGAATTTTTCCGAATTGGGTGTTATTTTCTTAAAATCTAATGACTATTGACTGACCCTGTGAAATTAGGATTTTATACTTTTCATAACTGGTTGGTTTATTGACTTTCATAACTTTTATGTTGTACAGATAGCCCATATAAATTCTGTAAATACTGCAAAGATGACACCTCACTGGGCATAAATACAGATGTTGATGCTGGTAGAGCCTTTTTATTTCAGAGTTATGTGAGTTTATATTTAAATTATGACCTAAATCATAAACTCAAGAATCAGGGACAGAGTTCACGTCCTCGTGCTGTGTTTACCCTGGGGTTGTGTCTTCTTCTTCAGTGTGACAGAAATGTCTCACATGCTCAAAGAGATCTGACTTTCTGCTGAAGACAGAAATATAATAAATAAAAGCTTCTTTAAAAGCATCTTTTGTGCTGTTTGAAGTCTAAGTCTGCAGACGATCAATACCAGACAGTCAGGGACGCCTGGATTCGTATTTATATTCTCAGCACTGATCCTCTTCCTGCAGACTGAATCAGAGCAGCAAAGGATGGGAACATGGCAAAGGTCAAAGGTCACATGTGTCAGCAGACTGAAGCAGTTTCAGTCTGAGCACAGGTGGAAAATTTTGAAAATTCTGAAGATGAAATTCCATTTTGAGGGAGAAGACCACAACAAAAGAGCAAAAAAGAGAATTAACTTCATTAAATGCACAAAGACTTCCAGACACATGGTAGAAACATCATCACCCCACCTGCTCACGCAAGTCTTTTTGTGTTTTGGTTAATTTATGCTTTTCAATGACAAGAGTCATCCTCTTTAGTTGTACTGTTTACGGCTATTTCATTTACACCTGGATCTTCCTGCTGCAGATAATGTGACACAAACAATGAGAGAAAGGAAGAACCATTCATCGTTCAGACTGGAGCACAGGATATGTCAGGAAACAAACGGGGTCAGGCAGGACAAGCACTTCGATGGAGAAAAACCCTTTATGGAGTCGATCAACTTTCACACAACAAAATACTCAAGCTTCACTTTTTTACTGTTGTATCTACAAATATAAACATGACGGTTGGGAAAAAAAGATCAAAATAACAAAGTTACGGTCCATCTTTAATGAAATAAAGTCAGACTTTTGGATTCTCAGGTGATCAGACTCCACCTTCAGACAGCTGATTGTGGTAAACAGCAGCAGTTTGTCAGGTTTTAGAGTTCAGCTCCTACAGAATCGCATTTTTCTGTTTGTACTTCTGAATCTCTTCTTCTCACATGTAAATCCACTGTAAGGGTGTTTTCACATTCATGAAGCCTCTCTGATAAGGAGCTGCTCCTCCTTGGTTTCATTAACACACCGTCACACTGATCAGATATCAGCCACAGGAAACACAAACCATCAAATTAAAAGCAGGAAACACCAAAACATGCCTTCAGGACATCTAAAGACTGTTTGATTTTAATTTAGGTTTTTTTCCCCTTAGGTGAAGTAAAATTCACATTCATATTTATAGTAATCTTAAAAAGATGACTTTAAACTTTTAGCAGGTTAACACACATATGCTCTGCTTTGGCACAAAAATAAAAAGAAACACACAAGTAGAATAATGGAATTAGCAAAAACTGATGTGCAAAGATTTTCTTTTTTATAACAAAATAAGAAAAAAGAAGTAAAAAGATTCCAACTGATTTTTAATTCAGGCTGTAAATGTCTCAGTTTCCATTGCAAAGTTGGATTTTTAAACATGGGGCTCTATGGGTGTTACCTCACTTTAAGACACATCCTCAAGTGGACACTCCAGGTACTACAATTTCTGGGACCTCCACAATGTCTTAACTTTGAACTCCACAGATTGCTCCCTTTTTTTTTTACTTTACTGTTTAGATGTTACATTCATACTCAACATGTTTGGATCATGCCCTTACAATTCAGGGTCAGGTCAGGAATTGTTGAGTGCCGTGAGAAGGGGGCTTTGTAAGCATTAGTGAGATATAAAAACCTCAGACACAAAAATAGGGTTAAGGTCCTCATGAGCAAGAATTATGATGACCCTACATAAAGTACTTTAGTTGGTAATACGAAAGCCAAATAATCCTACTTTTGTATAGTGTTGTCAGAATACAGTATGAACCCGTACGCTGATGATACTAGAGTATATCTTACAAAACTGTATTATTAGAAACACAATATTCTTCATTCCTACTTGGCAAGAATTAAGTTATATTTGTTGCTACAATATCAATGCTGGCAAAATGTTGATAAAACCATGTATGAGAGCATAGGCCTGAAAGGTAACTTAGTATGAAATGATTTGAAATGATTCCTGAGTCGAAAAACGGCTAGATAGTTTGCTTTGAATTAACACGGAAAAAGGACATTTTTCTAAAAATATACACAAACATGGTATCAACTTCATTTTTAGAGATTCTTATTTAGGGAACTTCTTTTAGTTATTCTGATTTACCTGGTTTGATTTTGTGGTTGTTTCATCTGAATTTTTTAAATACATTTCAGTGTAACTTGGGGTCACATGACTTGAAGAGAGCAGAGTTTATG